AGCATAAGAAGTTGTTGGAAGAAAGTTCAGAGGAAACACTTACAAGACACTGGTATAGATGATGACTTCTTGGATAAGACTACCAAAACAGAGGCAACAAAAGCATAACTGGACAAAAGTGATTATATCAAATTCAGAAGCTTCTGCACAGCAAAGGAAACAATCAATGGAGTGAAGAGACATCCAATACAATGCAAAAAATTATTTTCAAGCTACTTATCTGACAAAAGATTGCAACTCAAAAAGCTCAACAACAAAAAATTAATCCAGTTAAGAAATTGGCAGTGAATCTAAACAGACATCTCTAAAGGACAAATAAAAATGGCAAACAAATATATTTTGAAATGCTCCATATCACTAGCCATCAGAGAAATGCAAATCAAAGCATGAGCTATCACCTCACCCCTGTCATAATGACTTTTATCCAAAAGACAATGCAACAAATGCAGGTGAGGAAGTGGAGAAAGGGGAACTCTTACACAGGGTTGGTAAGAATGTAAATTAATGCAGTCATTATGGAAAACAGTATGGATATTTATTTAAAAACTGGAAATAGACTTGCCATATGATCCAACAATCCCACTACTGAGAGAGACAGCTATACCACAGTGTTTACAGCAGCACTGTTCAAAAAATGGAATAGTCAAAATATGGAATCAACCAAAGTGTTCATCATTAGATGAATGGATAAAGCTATAAAAAAAAGAAATTCTATCATTTGCATCAAAATGTTTGGAACTAAAGGACATCATGTTGAGTGAAATAATCCAGACACAGAAAAACAAAGATTGCATGTTCCCCTTTATATGCAAGCTAAACTTTTTTTTTAACTTTTATTTAATGAATACAAATTTCCAAAGTACAGCTTATGGATTACAATGGCTTCACCCCCATAATGTCCCTCCCACCCGCAACCCTCCCCTTTCCCACTCCTCTCCCCTTCCATTCACATGAGGATTCATTTTCGATTCTCTTTATATATAGAAGATCAGTTTAGCATACATTAAAGATTTCAAAAGTTTGCTCCCACACAGAAACATAAAGTGAAAAATAATAGATGATTTTTTAAATGATGATGAAATCAGATCAGACCTATTGTCATGTTTAATCCCAGTGAGAGTCAAGTTGGGAATTGATAATTTCTTCTTTTTTTTTGTTTTTTTCTTTTTTTTTTTTTTTTACAGGAGATCAGTTTAGTATACATTAATTAAAGATTTCAACAGTTTGCACCCCCATAGAAACACAAAGTGAAATATACTGTTTGAGTACTCGTAAGCTAAACTTTTTTAAAAAATTAAAAAACAAAAACAAAAAAAGAAATACCTGTATCAGTTTTACTACAAATAGTGTTCTGTCAAACTTTGTTTTAAATCTTTGTCAAATAAATTGTTAAGAGTTACATACTACTATAATTTAAATGATGTGTAACTTCTAAAATTTTGTTTATATGAGTGAAGTTGATGATATTTTCATTTGATTAGTGTTTACAGTCCTTGCCTGTTTTTCTATTCAACTATGTTTTTCTTTTTACTTTTTATTTGTTGAACTCTGTTTAGTGAAGCATTAATCTTCTGTCTATAATGTAAATTGAAAATGTTATCTCAAAAATAAAAAAGAAAGAAAAAGTCTAAGGTCTAAAAGAAATTACTGCTATTAAGGATGAATAAAAAGAAGCAATAAGAAAAGATTCTATAACAAGAAAAAAGTTACATCTATCAAAAGGTAGAGGAATAGGATTTTATAAAAATACAGTATAAATATTAGATAGCATATAGGCTTAATGTGCTTAGTAAAAATCATCAAAGCATGATCTCTCTAAAAAAAGAAAAAATAAAGGGTGGTATAATAACTCTGCAATCAAAGACAGACAGGTGAACCATTCAAACATAAAATTAAACTACCATGATTTTTCTAGTATATATATCTTCTTTTACTTTATCACTAATCATACATGGTAGATAAGCTTTCTGAATCCTTTGCATCTGAAAATGATCTAACTTTGTCTGTATTTACTTAGATACAAAATTGTTGCATTAAAGCCATTTTCCCTCAGAAATTCTCCACATCTTTTAATATCCCATATTAAAATGAAAAATTAGATTTATATCTGATTTTTGTTTCTTTGTATCTGTTTTTTAATTCTGTAAATGTTTAGGTTAACTGTACTGAACACTTTTTCCTTTTCCTTTCCCTTTCTAACCTTGGTACAAGTCACACATTTGCAACTGTAGAAAAGTACATCTTCATTTCCTTTTCACATATTTTTCATACAAAATTAACAAAAGCTAACATGTGGTTAACCAGAATGTTTTCTCAATATACAACATAATAACAATTTTAGGAGAAGATTGAAGGGACATAACTATAACAGAAGGACCCAGATAAAAAAAAGAACTTATGACCACCAGCCAAAACAGCCACATTTCATATCAAAAAAGCTTACACTTAAGTGGCATCAACACCAACCTTGGAAACCTAACGATCTTCTTTAAGCACCCACAAGTGACCCTTCTCTTTTAAATGTCCTCCTGTTAATCTGTAAACAGAGATCACATATTTGTTACTGAAGAAGTCTACCTTCTCCAATGACTGCCAGCTTCTTGAACAAACTTGTTCCCTTACATCAACTCTCATCTCTGAAATTGGCTGTCCAGCAATTTAACAGGCACCTTCTGCATCATTAAATTCATCTTTCAAAAGTTCTACTGAACATTTTATTGGACAGTCCTCTGTAAGATCAAAAAACTCTTTCATACTCTGATTATTTAAATATCTTGGCTTTATGGATGGATAAACCATTTTAACATATCCATCCCCTTACTAATTTTGGTAGCTCCCCAACAGTTTATACTATTTCATATAAAATTACAAATACGCAGAGGAAGGAATTATACAAGAGCAACAGTCCTTGGGGTCACTCTTAGGATTTTGGCTATTCAGAGGAGCTTGCCATTCTGGTGCAGCATGCTAAGCCACCTTCTGCAATGTCCACATCACATATAAGCATTCATCGAAGTCCCAACCGCTCCACCTCCAGTCCAACTCCTTGCTAATGTGCCTGGGAAAACAGCAGAAAACCATCTGAGATTCGGGTCCCTGTCACCTACATGGGAAACTCAGATGGAGTTCCAGATTTCTGGCTACAGTCTGGCCCAGCCTCAGCCGTTGCAGCCATTTGAGGAGTGAACCAGCATATGAAAGATCTCTCTGTAACTCTGACTTTCAAATAAAGGAATAAATCTTCTAAAGAAAACAAATGGATTTTTCCTACTTGGCCCTCTTAGTTCTTTGTCAGAAGTTGATACCCTTTTAATTTTCTTAGGCTCTTCAGGTGAAAGAAAAACTGACATCTACTCAGAATCTTAAAGTAAAAGTCCCAAATCACGTTCACAGTGGTTTGACCCTACATTCCCTCAAAGACGAGGATGTAGAAACATTATCTTTTTGAGGATTCCATTTCAAAGAGTTTGCTCCTGGGTCCATTAGAAATCAGATTGCAGTATTGGCAAGAGGTTGGGAAAATATATCAAAAAGGACCAAAGAAAATATTGATGACTGAATATTATCTAAAGTAAATACTCTGAGAAAAAGAAGGTCAGGAGTCTATAGTGAGGAAGAAACCTATCTAAAGTTTGGTCAAGCTAAGTGGAACATTAAGCCTATCTTAGTTACTAGCAAAGAGTAAATACCTTGAATTTCAGATGTCCACCCATTCCCCTTTCTCCCCTTAAAGGCATATGATGTATGAGGAAACTGAAGCTTATGTAATCCTGTGTCTGATAACAAAAGATATGGATCCTGAATTCATGTAATGTCCTCTGGATTTTCGTGGGTCTCTTCAGTAGTGTGACTAGCTTAACTGTTCCCTGCTGTTGATCATTTATTTGTGGCTGGCCCTATTTGACTTTTTTTAAAGATGTCAGATTGGAGTGGTTTTTCTGGCATATGCCACCACTTGGAATGCCCACATCCAATATCTGAGTGCTTAGTTCCAGTTCCACTATTCTAGTTTCCAATCCATCTTCCTGCAGTAATGCTTGGCAGACAGGATGATGGCCCAAGTACTTGAGTTCCTGCCATCCACGTAGGACAAACAGTGGGAGCACTTGGCTCCTGGATTCAGTCTGGCCTAGCCCTAGCTGTTGTAGACTTTTGGAGAGTGAACCAGCAAATAGAAGATATCTGTTTCTCCCACTTACTACCTCTAGTTTATTTCTGATCCAGTGCCCTGCTAATGGCCCAGCAAAAGCAGCAGAAAACGGCCTGAGTGCTTGAGCCCCCTGCCATCCTCAGGAGAGACCAGGAAGACACAACTGGCTCCTGGCTTTGGACTGGCCCAGCACTGGCCATTGGGATCATCTATGGAGTAAACCAGCAGATGGAAAATTACTCTCTATATAAACATGTAACTATTTCAAATAAATAAATATTTTTAAAAATATGTACTTTCCAATGAACCTTTAAAATTCTAAATATTATTAATACTTTAAAAATTAATAAGTTAATTCAATTTATAATTTTGGTTCACAATATGAGGGCTTTCCCTAATGTATAAAGTTTTACTTTATCAACTAGCACCAATAAATTGATGGAAAGTTGGAAACAACATAATATGAATATTAGAGTTATTAGTCAGAATAGAAGGGTAGGGGCTGGCGCCGTGGCTCACTTGGTTAATCCTCCACCTGTGGCGCCGGCATCCCATATGGTGCCGGGTTCTAGTCCCGGTTGCTCCTCTTCCAGTCCACCTCTCTGCTGTGGCCTGGGAGGGCAATGGAGGATGGCCCAAGTGCTTGGGCCCTGCACCCACATGGGAGACCAGGAAGAAGCACCTGGCTCCTGGCTTCAGATTGACACAGCGTGCCAGCAGGAGCGGCTATTTGAGGAGTGAATCAACGCAAGGAAGACCTTTCTCTCTGTCTCTCTATGACTCTAGCTGTCAAAAAAAAAAAAAAAAAAAAGAATAGAAGGGTAGTAACAAAGTTCAATGAGTTAAAATCTTAGATTTGAAATTTGATAGCGTTTATTTGGATAGTCTGCATGGAAAACTGCCTTTTGCCACCATCTTTCATCTTGTGGTCTTAGCCATTTTGTCTTCTTTTAACATAATCTAGTTGTGCTTCTTCTCATGATAAAACAGGATTTTCTCTATCCCTGGCTGTATTTCCTGGCCACCAAGTGGTGCCATCTCCTGCTTAGTTTGAGAGAGATTTCAGGGATATGGCTTTTTTTAAGCACTTGTGGCTCAAAATGTTGGCCCACACTTTACCAATGCTTCCCCCTGGAACAAGACAACAAAGCTCAGAGACAATATGAATTACTGAGTCAACATCGCATAGCTTGAAAATCTTTCTTAGAACGAAGACTAGTACATTTAGAGTGACGTATGAGTTACGTGCCACCACTCCCCACACACTCTACCCAAACACACCATTTGAAATGCTCTCACTTTAAGACTCCCCCAAACACACACACACACACACACACACACACACACACACACCCTTAAAGGACCTAGCTTCCTAGAGGCTAGACCTGTCGGAATCTTACCCAGTGACACGTTCAGTCTGTGTGAATGGTGAGCAGTGGGGAAATGTTTGTGTAACACTGTTGGACGTCAGCAGTCACTCCGGGCTGTCTGACGAAGACGACTAATCACAGGTTAACTTTCGCAAATAGCACACTGTAAATGGGCTTGCGACTGATTGTGACACAAAGAATTCACTTGCAAGGACTCAGGAGGAGCTCAGAGCTGTGAGTGCTCTGAGCTCAGGCTTTCAAGGCGCTTACTGGAGTCACCGCCTCAGTCGCAGCGCCACTTTAAAACGCAACGCAGCCTGCGCGCGCCGCAGACCGCCCTCATTCCCGGCCTCGGCGCGAGCCGCGCGCAAGGCATGCCGGGACACCGCGGCGTCCAACCGTCGTCCCCAAGGCAACCGGCCCGCACCTGTTGTCATGGAGACACCTCCGGGAACCTCACCGAGGAGCGGCCCCCGCTGGCACCACGCAGGATGAATGGCCGAGGCGCTAAGGCCCCTGAAAGGCGAAGACACGTGAGCAGCCGCCTCAGCCAGCAGCAAGACCAGGCACTGAGCAGCAGCATCTACCTCCTCCGAGAGTTGGGCCCCACTGGCTTCCTGCTGAGGGAGGAGGAGCCGGAAAACAGGGATTTCCGAGTAACTACCCGCCCCCATTTCGCCCAGGGTCCCCCCTGGCTCTCTGGCGTGTTTAGCCGCTCTCAGCTTCGCTGCAGCCCTAGGGAAGGTTCCAGACTCTAAGTACCTGCAAACTGCAGAGGGAAATAGCATGTATTAGCTAAGTTTCTTTGTTGTTAGGGTCGCAGATTGCGTCTAACTCTTGTAAAATGATGAAAGGCTTGAAAGGGTCAGGTTTTATGTGACTATTTGGTTTTCATTACGTGAGTTCAGGGATCCATTGTTAGCAATCACTAGCCCTAAAAATCCAAAGAAATGAAAATCGTGCACTCTATATACAAACCGAAAATATTTGCTGAATAAATAAAAACACTTACCTTTACTCTTTATTCTCTTGAAGCTCCAACAAGTCTCTATTAAAGGAAAGTGCCAATACCTTGGAAAGATCTTAATGAGGAAAACATTGCTTAAATGTTGCTGAAAAACCAGATGTTTCAAATTTGGATGTACCACTCTTGCCACTCAAAAATGATCAGTCTCATCACCTCCCAGGAGTTGTCTCGGGAGATATCATTCTAGTGCTATGCATTTTAAATACAGAATCTCTGCTATTAAATACATGCATTTTTATCACTGAGTTTTCTACTCTATGATTGTTTAAAACATCCCTTTTTCATTGTTGTTTTCACAAGTTATGGTATTTAATAAATTGTCTTAGCCAACATAGTGTTGGTGAATAAAAATAGTCATCTTGAATAAATTTCTTTACACTAAGAAATTTATAAGTGTTTTTAAGTTTAAAATTAGATTTCTTACACCTGTCTGAGCTCATGTCACATAAAAACTGTTTTAACTGGTAATGCAAGTTATTAATCAAAGCAAGGAATAAGGAAAAATCCTGGAGACTGATGTCAAGAGTTAAGATTTTCCAGTGGACTCTATTCAACATTTTGGAGTCATGAAAACTAAATTTTCTCTTTAACACCTTTTAAATCAGTTATATAACAACTTAGTTTTGCCCAAACTGTAATTAATTAGCATTTTTAAAAAATAGTTTTCTTTTAAAGGTTTTCTTAGGAAATCCTCATGTTTGTAACTGTTCCGTGTTTCTGAAAGGAGATGAGCTTTGTAAACATATATGCTGGTAAGTGACTTTTTAATGAAGGTCTTCCCCAAAGGAATATCTTGGTGTGTTGTATATTTTGCCTTTGTGTGTTTGTTGTTTTAATACAGCAATATTAAAAAAAAATTCTTGTTGGAGGAATAATACATTAAAAATATTAGCTTATCCATTTATTTTTCAGTATTTCATTTAATTATGAAAATTGAATGGATGAGTTTAAATTGAGAAAAATTTTATAATGCTTTTACACAGGAAAAATCAAGTTTTAGATTCCTATTAGGTGTAAGTGAAATTTAAATACAATCAGGGAAAATAAATGTGTGATAGTTTGTATTTCATGATAATTATATACTTCATTTTGAGGCAATATTATGTTTCAAGGACTTTGTGCTTCCAACAATACATTTATTAAGAAAATGAAATTATCTGTCTCCATGTATAGACATAGGATTTGAAGGCATTCATTCTTTATTTACTGGCTCATGTTGGTCAATTTTCAGAAAGTTGTCCTTTGCAATGAACATTCAACTATGAGTTTTTCAAGATTGAAGTAGGACTCTATTAAAGGTTACTTTTGTTAAATCTGAAACTTTTCCCCTAGTGTTAGAACCAACTTACAGGCTAATTAATAACCAGAAATGGGGTAAAAAACTCTTCATTTAGTTTAAACCCAGTCGATCTCATTTCGTTTTGCCTACCTATACTCATGTCAACAAATTATTGATTATATTATCAACAGTTTGAAATTAATACGTGAAGAAAAAAGAAATTAAAAAAGAGCACATGTCATGTTTCTAATGCTTTTCTTTATAGGTAAAAAATAGTGTCTTTTTAAAAATGATTTCATTTATCAAGTTTGCTTCTTTGTTTTGATCAGTTTTTATTGAGAATCTACTAACACAACTTATTTCCCTTCTTGACATGAAGATAAAAATATGGTCCTTTCAAATCTTGCAGTTTGGTATTATAAAATATCTTTTTTACATTTTCATTTTAAGTCTGGGCAAGGGCATTCTATTCTGATTTTTTTATAACTTGTTTTGTATAGTATTTTAACCATGTATTAAATACAAATATAATCCAAGTACTTAATATATTTAAAATATTTAATAAGTTAATGTATTACCACGTTTTTAAAAGTCACATATTTTAATTATAGATATTTGAAAAGGTTTTTTTCATCATGCATTAAATTAGTATATATAGGAAAATAGTCATTTGGTACTCTATCCAGAAAATTACTCCATTTCCAGGAATTTTAAAAGAATTAGTTTGAGTATCATAACACTTTCAGAAATGTAAATCTTATAATGCTATCTGTATTCTAATATTTTTTAATCTTTCTGATTATGTCAAAAATGTTTTAATTTTTCTGCCTATGTATATTAGGGTCTTGTTGAAAAAATTCAAGCTTCCAAGAAATCATGAATGTAAGTTTTTTGAGTTTTTTTTGCTAATTAGAAGTTAACAAATACAGCAATTTATTTTATTTAAACATATTCCAAATTTAGATGATCATTTTTCTAGAGCACCTTAATTGTCTGTAGTCCAGTTTATTACATTTAAGACAGTTGAAGCATTTTTCTTTAATAATAAAAGTAGGGCCGGCGCCGTGGCTCACTAGGCTAATCCTCCGCCTTCAGCTCCAGCACTCCGGGTTCTAGTCCCGGTTGGGGCGCCAGTTCTGTCCCAGTTGCTCCTCTTGTAGTCCAGCTCTCTGCTGTGGCCCAGGAAGGCAGTGGAGGATGGCCCAAGTGCTTGGGCCCTGCACCCCATGGGAGACCAGGAGGAAGCACCTGGCTCCTGGCTTCAAATCAGCACAGCGCGCCAGCCATAGCAACAATTTAGGGGGTGAACCAACAGAAGGAAGAGCTTTCTCTCTGTCTTTCTCTGACACTGTCTAACTTTGCTTTCAAAAAAATAACAATAAAAGTAACTTTATATGCCATTTTAAAACTTGAAGACACTAAAAACAGTGATGAACAATGGACATTATTTGTTAGAATTTATGAGGGAAATTGTTCTCCAATACTCACTGTGTCTCCTTGTATCTATAAAACTGTAATTGTGAGAAAAATAACAAATTAGTTTTTTTTAGGTTTGTTTTCATTTACTTGAAAGAAAGAGATATCTCCCATCCACTGATTTATTCCACAAATTCCCACAACAGCCAAGACTTTTTTCAAAATCTAGTATGTGTCTTACAGTTACTGTACATCTCAGCTCAGACACTATATTTTCATGGAAATACTTGATTTGCATGTCAACTTCATGAAATTTTCAACTGAAAGACTCACATAGTACCCAAATTGTTACAAATATAAAATTTTCAGTAACTATAGGTTTTGAGCTTTAAATTTAAGTTAAAATTTAAATGGACAATAGATATGAGGCCAATACCTATAATATTGAATAATGCAACTCTATATTTATTGTATGCATATTATATAAAAGCTCTACTCATACTCTTAATACATCAAAAGAAATTGCTAGTATTTATATTTTATCACAAAAACAGAAATTTCATGTGGATTAGTCTACTACTTTATGTTGGATTATCCTTTGTACTTCTTAAAAGCAGATCTAATTCTTTATAAATACTAGTCTAGGGTAGATAAATTTTATTGTTGAAAATTAAAATCCTATGTGTTAATTTTTTAATTTATATTTCCTAATGAAATAAATATTTTTCATATTTTCTTAGTTAACACTGAGTAAATTCTATATATACAATATAATACTGGACAAGATAGAAATCTTTAATAATGATGACCTTTAAATTTATCACGTAAGTGATAGATGGAACATTTATGAATATTAACAAAATTCAAAGAAAGCTATATACAGTTGTTTACTAAGATTATATAAATTATGTAAATAAGTGTGGAAGGAATGTTTACCAGTGATGGAAGAGGAGTCTTTTGAACATCATTTTATTTTTTATATTTTTTTTTTTTTCTATGGCGAGGCAGACGGGACAGTGAGAGAGACAGAGAGAAAGGTCTTCCTTTTGCCCTTGGTTCCCCCTCCAATGGCCGCCACGGCTGGCGTGCTGCAGCCAGCGCATCGCGCCTATCCGAAGGCAGGAGCCAGATGCTTCTCCTGGTCTCCCATGGGGTGCAGAGCCCAAGCACTTGGGCCATCCTCCACTGCCTTCCCGGGCCACAGCAGAGAGCTGGCCTGGAAGAGGGGCAACCGGGACAGAATCCGGCACCCCAACCAGGAGTAGAACCCGGTGTGCCGGCGCTGTTAGGTGGAGAATTAGCCTATTGAGCTGCGGCGCCAGCCCAGAGATTCTTTTTTAAAAGGAATCCACAATCAGTTCACTCCTATGTTGCATATAACAAACCTTAGACTCTTCTTTTTTTAGAACTATATATACATGATTGATTATGTAGGAACTTTGAGAAATATTAGCTTT